GTCAACTACATTTCAGGCAATGAATATAATGCCTTAAATAAATATTAGATAGGTGATTTGGTTTAATAATTAATGGAGTGAATAAGCTATTTACAAAATTATAGGGAAGTCGCGATTAATCAAATTTTTATAATAATGTGTACAATGAGAAAAACATAGAAATTGTTGGGTGACTATGAATTAGTGGGAAGTTGAATAATTTATTATGTGAATAATTTAGAGTTTAAATGTTGTGATCCATCTTTTAATATTCTAGATAAATTAAGATATTTTAAAAGTTGATGAGTTCTAGAACTTGGGAGTAATTTACGCTTGAATAAGTATGAAATTAAGACTCCCCACAAGAATAGAATGAGGATGAATTAAGTAGAAATGTCAAGGTATTATATGATATAAAATATCATAGAGAATACCTAGGATTAACAGTAAAGATTTTTTGTATCATTGAAAAGTGAATATATATGCAGTTCAGGATCAGTATGGAATAATTATGAACTCTATCTCATTGACCATTTATTGACTATAACTATGACTGTGTCCTTAGGTGACGATGTGAATCGTAAATATGACTGTAACTATGATTGTGTCCTTATAAGACGATGTAAATTATAACTATGACGGTAACTATGGCTAACTCCTTAGGGACGATATTAATAGTAACTATGACTATAACTATGACGGTGTCCTTGGGGGATGATTTGAATCATAACTATGGTTGTAACTATGATTTGTGGGAGCTATGATTTTGTCCATGTTGATAGTGTGAAGGGGACGATGTGAATCATAACTATGGCTGTAACTATGACTTATAGGAGCTATGATTTTGTCCATGTTGATAGTGTGAATTATCATCTCCTTCCATGATTGTGACTGAATGATATTATGTGATACGATAATGAGTCTATGTGCATATGTGATTGGTTGTGTTGGTGAATGATGAGAATATGTTGTTATGTGAATATGTATATTAGATAGGGTATTCTACACATTTAAGGAAGGATATCATATGTGTGTGAATATACGTTAAAGAAAAGATATTAGATGTGTGATATGTGTTTAAAAAATTTTATTCTACGTGTGGATAAGAATTTAAAAAATGGTATTCTATGTGTAAGCATGTGTAATTAATATGAACACGATATCGCGTTTATGAAATTATGAATAAACCAAAAGTAACTTATGAGAATGTAGTTATGTAAATTATGGACATCCTTTAAATGAAATGAGGTATATAAAAATGAAAACATGTGAATAGTAAGATCGATATAGTTGTAGTAGGGTGTGGATATCAGATGGTGATGAAGGGCCTGATAAGCTTGAGGTAAAGGTAATGGTTCGAATCGGTATATTATCTATGATCTTCGGATTGAAGTTTTAAATTATTCTTATTGAGCAAGTGGTGGCTTACTCTTTTTTATCAATTTCATAGCAGAAAGACCAAGACCAAGTTCATGGTCAAGGAAGACTTAGAAGAATCCTTTTATGAAAATGGGAAATTATTTGTAAAGTAGATCTAAAAATTTACTTTAGAAACGTCATTAAATATTTTATGAACCTCATGAACTGTAACTTTGAGCAAGGGATGTACAGGTCAGTTTTAGATTTTAGCATATTGATGCACTATTTATTAAGTTTTATACGTGTTGTAGCATTCATTTCTTAGATGAGAAATCAGGTTGTTACAGTTGGTATCAGAGCCCACGTTCCTCAAAAACATCCCTTTGTATCATGAGTTCTAGGACTCCTATAAGGTTTAAGACTAAAAGAAAATAGGTAATATGTGTCTTTGGAGATGTTTTAGAACTTCCTTCGAAACATCTGGGAATGTGAGAAAGGAAAATCATAATTTCAAAAGTTCGAAGAGATGGGAGTTGCATGGGTTTGAAGTATGATAAGGCTAGGAAATGAAACGTTAGGGCCTCACTCTAAAGCCAACTAGGGATGGTGAATAAGCAACAACCATAATCAACCACAGAATATGAAACCATAGGAAGCTTAAATGTAACGAAGAAAATTACACAATAGGAGAAAATGAATAAAGAAAATTTTGGGAAGAGAACTAATTTCCCTTAAGTTGGGAAAAGAATCTTAAAGGGGAGAAGATCCCCAAAGTTAAAAAGAAAAGTTTCCCCAAGTTGAAGAAATTCCCCCAACAAAAAAAATATCTCCTAAGTAGTTATGCCTTGGAAGGAACTCCTCTAGGTCACGAGAGACATAAAAAAGGAAAAAAAAAGGGGAAAGAGAATGTTAGGTGACCAAATAAATATTAAGACCTTGATGGTCTTTGGAAATTCTTCATGAATATTCTCTGGGAAGAATGGATACGCTACATGTTCAAACTCTTTCCAAGTTTCCACATAGGGATTACAAAATTGATTCAAGATTCTTAGTCATTAAACAATCATATGCTTAACGGATAAAAGCATTTTGGGAGATTGAGTAAATCATGAGCTTGGTGAGTATGAAAACTCCTACTAAATGAAATAAAATACAGTTAATTAGGATTTCTCTAAGTTTGCTACAGACCTGAAAGAAAATACAATCCTTTAAACCAATAAATCATATATAAAAATATTTAAAAAATTGAATAAGCATTAGAGACTTAAATATGTTTTTGAGGTTCAAATATATATTTATAGAATAGTAATAATAAATATTCTACTTATATAAATTCTTGTCAAGGGGCCACACGAGAGTTGTATTGAGGTCAGAAACCATTGGACCTTAAATCCTCATGTGCTTGATAGATTAAAAGACTTTTGTCTTGGATGAGACAGAGTACACTTAATTGGAACTCTTCTTCCTGACACTTTTTATTCATTCCAAAGTAAATTTCCAAGGAAATATAGAATACCATAAGGACATGTTATGACAACACACTATTAATAATATGATAATAAATCAAAACATGTTTTCTTTACCCTTAACAGGGATGTAAAAGATGATACAATGTGTCAACATATTAATTCAAACCTCTAGGGTAGATATTATCTGAGTGACGCAGTGGAAGCATAGTGTGGAGCCATAACAAACCATACATATGAAAGATTTCTCTCAAGACCAACAAAGAGAAATTGTTAATAGGATGAACATGAAACTCACGCCCTAAGACTATACTCTTGGATGATCACACGAAAATCATGGAAGTCAAACCTAGTCTTAGAAGAACTTAAAGACTAAATTCACTCACTACTAGCAAGACTCTTAGATAATCCTTCCACCTAAGGAACTCCTAATGATTGTCGATAATAAATATGGATTTAATAACACACTATGTATTGTGTAGTGGACCTTTTTTTTTTAAAAAAAGGGGGTCAATTAAGTATTGAGGTATTTTTTATATGATTTAAATTTTCATGACTTTAGAGAGACAATATAATTCAGTAATGAATAATTTACTAGAATATCGACTCACCACAACAAAAAAAAAGTCTTAAATATCCTAACATCATATCGAATCTATGAATAATATTTGGAAGTCAGAAAATCACCACACCTATTAAATCTTAATGCTTACCTATTCTTAAGAGTTTTGAGCAGAAAATGAAATGCTAAGGTTAAACCCTCATCTCTATAAATCTTCACATTTAAGTACGACCAAGTACATAGAGAACATATGCCAGCTAATCACAAAATAATTTCAAAAAGTTAGAAAGTATTCAAAATAATTTGGACACATGAATTTTGGGATACCCTAAATTTATCATGACATCGAGGTTGCTTAGGTAATTGAGTAAATACATTTATGAAAAATAGAGGATATGAGATATATTATTAAGAGATTAGAAATATACTATAACATTGAGGTTACAAAAAAAATGAGATGAATTTAAGATATGATATATAGTTACTGAGAAATTCTTATGATAATTATTAAACTAGAAATGATGTTCCCAAGTCATGTCAAATAAAAATAACAATCGCATATAATATAATGGTATAACACTACGCTTTGATGCATTTTGAGGATAAAGATAGTCCCATATGATAACCAGAGATTTTATTAAAAGACATATATGGTATATTCTAAATAATCACATACTAATGTTCAAAAGTTGAAAAATAATAATTTAAATGAGGTTCATGAAATTCTAGAGGTTATAAACATGCTATGTTATTGAAGTTATTTAGATAATTAAAATTTATTCTTGTGCTGAAATTAGATGTGATATATATTGTTGAGAGATTATTATAATGATAAAACCATGTGGATGTAATGACAATTGCATATAATGTGGCTGGGAGATATTATGCTTTAATGAATTTTAAGGATCAATATAGTCCAAGATGGTAATCCTTTTGCCAGATCAAATGTTCTTGAAGAAACTATAGGGAGATACCAACAAACCCTAAGTTTTAAAATATTTGGAATTAAGAAACAAATTCTTAACAATTATACGTTTCTTACCGAAATTAGAAAGGAACGGATTAATAACTAAAGAGATCTTATCAATGATAATATTGTAACGAAATGATTAGGTTAAAGAGGAAACTTGGAAATAAGCAAGGATATTTCTGAATCACCTAATTACTACAAATTTGAAGGACCAAATTTTTTATATGGGGAGAAGATTATAATGACTCGTCTCGCATAAGTTAAAATTTGAATGCAAGTTCATGCTCTAGAGAGTTTATTTAAGCATTAAGTGAATTTTCAAAAGTAAAAAAAAGGGATTCTAAAAATATAAAAATATAAAATGTAATCTAAAAATAATAATAATAATAAATAATGAAATTGGGAAAATGACCAAACTGAAAGCAAATTTGGGAGTTTATCTACTCTGTAATTGAATAAAAGCCCAAATGATTAAAATTATAGGATTTGGGGTCATTTTAAAATTTTTATAAATCAACCAATCTGCTTTAAAAAACTCTGTTTTAATTTTTGTTTTAAAAAAGAAAATCAACAGTCTAGATCTCATCGCACAACAGACAACCATGATTTGATCTTATTTACTATATAAAAGTTCTTGTTCACAAAAAAATAATAATAAGAAAACCTTGGAGCAAATGAGCAGTGGTGGAAAGGAGGAGTAGAGGGCCGATACGTGAAAGTGAAAGGGAAAAGAGAAAATTTTTTGACGTCTTGTTCGTTGAAAGGCTAAGATAGGTCGCGGTGAGCCTAGCCTTTAGCTAATAAGCCATAGTTGCACCCTTTCCTCTCATTTAATATCTTCTTCTTTAAAAATAAAGATGAATCCGTGATGGGTTTTGCAGGTTGGGTAAAGAAGAATAGTTGAAATCGCTATGAATCACGTCATCAAGGGTAAGAGTAGTTTATACTCTAAATCCCTAGATTTAAGCTAATATATTTGATTTAGATAATTATTTGTTATAGGATCATAATAAGGATTGATTGTTGTGGATACTGTCTAAGGAATATGTGATGACTAAGCGAAACTTGAATTGGTTGTGTTATGTGATGAAGATGGTGGCTGGAATTGAATGTGAAGTGTAATTAGGGTTTTTGACGATTGAAGAAGATGAAAAGGGGCCTCATGTGGGTCAGGTTGATTGTACTTGTGAGGCCTAGGCTTGGTTTACCCTAACGTGTCAAAGCCCAGAAGGATTTGTTTAACGGGCTTAGTAATTAATTTGGAAGAAGAAAATGAAATTAAAATGAAAGGGTAAAAATATATATAAATATGTAATAAGTGTGTAACCTATAAAGGAAGTCGGGTATATGAAGTCCATAAGTAAAGTGGACCTAGTGAGGGGTCTAAAATTTTAGTGGATTGAATGTAATGAAAGGAAAAATAAATAAATAAATAAATAAAGAGGGAAAGGAAGGGCAAACTCGAATGGGTTGAGCTCGTAGGAAGAATAAAGGAATTCCAGTGATGAATTGAGCCAAACCTGAAGAAATTAAACAAATGAGGAAATTAAATCTAGTGGGTCTAGCCTATAGGAAGGGGATAAGAGTAATAAAAATTTAAGTGAGCCGAGCCCTTAGGAATGGGTTAAGATAGAAGATAAAATTTAGTTTGAGGGGTTACATTAATTCAAAATAAATAGAGATAGGAAAGAATTAGTAATATTGAGAACTTAACAAATGGGTTCTTTCATTGGGCTTCTAGCCCAAAAGCAAATAAAGTAAATTTGAATGAAATATTATATGGGCTCCTAGTTTACAGCCCAACAAGCAGGGTCAACTACGTTCCAAGCAGTGAATAGTAATGGGTTAGAAAACAATAATGATTATGATGGGCTTGAGATCTAGAATATGGGTTGAGGAAATTCATTACGACTTTGAAAAGATAAATTGTATAAAATAAAACATTATTAATGAATATAATGCATGAAATAAATAGTGGATATGCGATTTAGTTCAATAATTAATGGAGTGAATAAGCTATTTACGAAATTATAGAGAAGTCGCGATTGATCAAATTTTGATAGCAATGTGTACAATGAGAAAAACATAGAAATTGTTGGGAGACTATGAATTAGTGGGGAATTTGAATCATTTATGATGTGAATAATTTAGAGTTTAAATGTTGTGATCCATCTTTTGATATTCTATATAAATTAAGATATTTTAAAAGTTGATGAGTTCTAGAACTTGGGAGTAATTTACGCGTGAATAAGTATGAAATTAGTACTTGCCCCAAGAATAGAATAAGGATGAATTAAGTAGAAATGTCAAGGTATTATATGAAGCAAATTATGATAGAGAATACCTAAATTAGCAGTAAAGATTTTTCGTATCATTGAAAAGCGAAAATATGTACAGTTTAGGATTTTTATAGAATGATTATAAACTCTATCTCATGGATCGTTTATTGGCTGTAACTATGACTTTGTCCATGGGGGACGATGTGAATCGTAAATATGACTGTAACTATGACTTTGTCACTAGGGGGGACGATGTGAATCGTAATTATTACAATAACTAGGACTATGTCCCTAGGGGATGATGTGAATTGTAACTATGGCTGTAACTATGACTTGTAGGAGCTATGATTTTATCCATGTTGATGGTGTGAATTATTATGTCATTCTATGAGTCTATGTGCATATGTGATTGGTTGTGTTGGTGAATGATGAGAATATGTTGCTATGTGGATATGTATATGAGCTAGGGTATTCTACACGTTTAGGGAAGGATATTATATGTGTGAATACGTGTTCAAGAAAAGGTATTATATGTGTGATATGTGTTTAAAGAATGGTATTCTATGTGTGGATAAGAATTTAAAGAAGGGTATTCTATATGTTAGCATGTGTAATTAATATGAATACGATATTGCGTTTATGAAATTGTGAATAAACCAAAAGTAACTTATGAGAATGTAGTTATGTAAATTATGGACACCCTTTGAATAAAATGAGATATATGACATAACACCCCGCCTATTACTGTGCTAAAATGATTTAGAAACTCTATTTATTTGGGCCTTTGGCCACTTTAAACTTAATTAATTTACGCTATTTAACATTTATCGTGATTTGTAATTTTGATTGATTTTTATTTATTTAATTAATTTTTATTTATATTTTATTTTATTTTAATTATTTTATTTTATTTTAAATTATTATGTTTTAGTTAAATTGAATTAAAATGAAAATTTAGAAAAAATGAACTGGAAAACTGTGAAACAAAAAAAAAATGCTCACGGGAAAAATCCGACGAGAGGGCCATTTGCGCGCGTGTACTGAGCATTGTGCACGTGCGACTGCACGCATAGTGGCTGCGGGACGTGCGCACAGCACGCACGTCCCTTCCGCACGCCCACACACACAGGACGTGCGCACAAGGCATACCTCTCCTCCGCGCGCACGGGACTTGTGCACAACGCGCATGTTTTTTTCGCGTGCACGTGCCGTGGGGTTAGGACCTGCCCACGCATCCTATCGCTCATAGGCGAGCCATCTGCACGTCACCTCACACCCTGACATGTGCCGCACAATATGCGTGTGCCATTCGTGCAACAAGCTTGTGCGAATACGCCTTGTGCACCTGGGACCTACGTAAATGGCACCCAGCACGTCTAGGCCCTACATGCTTGGCAGTAGGTGTGTGCGCCTGCAGGCTAGCCTGTAGTGCACTAGCCAAAGCACTGCTTCATTGGGTAGTGCGCCACCGCTACCTTGGGCATTGCACCATGGCCGGCGGCGGAGGAGTCTGTCTTCCCTCATTTTTTGTGCTGAACATCTTATTCTCCTCTCTTTTTACCAGATTTTGCCACTTGGCGTGAATCCAACAATTCCAAAATTCTATAAATTACCCACCCCTTACCTTCCTCTCAACACTTCTATTTCTTCTATTTTTCAAAAGTTTAGAGATAGAGTAATTTAGTGAGAGAAGAAGTGAAAGAAAGGGGAACGATAAAGAAGAAATTATAGAGATTTCTGTAAGGAATCTAGTATTACTTTCGATGTCTTAAGGAGTATTTCTAGGTAAGAAAATCTAATATGATTGTTAATTTGCTTATTTTGTATGCCTCTGTGTTCATATGAGTCGAATTGTTCTTGTTTTCAAGCATGCTATGTGAATTGCAGACACTTGATAAATTTGCATATAATAAATATAATATGTAATCGGTAACAATAAAAGTAAAAAGAAAAGGAAAAGAGAAAAGTGGAATGAAGCTTATATGCTCCAAACTGTATCTGTATTGACATGCATATTGTATCAAGTGTCTTGTTAGGCTTTTTATCTCTAAGGGGTATCTATTCCCCTTGCCCTTCGGAGTATCTATTTTCCCTCACATATCTGGTTTGGAAAGACTTATGAGGACCACTCATAGTGGATGACGACATGCCCCTTGACGAGAGTGGTGTCACGCTATCTATAGGGGTCACCCGTGGCTAAGTAATATAATAACTATATATATCTATTGGTACGGCCATTGTCATAGATCGTACCATGGTTTGGCCAGCCGAAAATAGGCCTAAGAAAATTGTTGTATTTGTATATGATCTTATCATTCCACTTAGGTAGTTGAAAATCTATATTTGCCCTCAAAGATGGAAGTTGTAATGACTTCAAAAAGCATGACACGAAAATCTGGCATGATGCATGTTTGATTTTCTATGCTAACGTATCATTTTCTTAATAAATAAATGTTCTTTTTATAATGTGAGATTTGTAAACAAAGAAGTTAAACAGTAAGATAAAATAATTAACTTTTAAAATCTTACGATGTTAATTTAATATTGTTTTCCTTATTGAGCATATGAAACTCACTCTTTCTATACCCCCCTCCCAGATGAAGAAGAAAGTGAGGAACCGCTAACAAACTTACCCTTGGAAGTTTATGAGGATCCCATAGATCCACAAGTCTGAGTGCATGACTGTTTTCACATCTGATGAATCTAATAGCATAGTGAAAGAAGTGGCCCTTATATTTTATATTTTGTAGCCACTTTTGTCCTCAATTTATGTATGAATTTAAAACTCATATATATTTGTAAGGGATTTATTATGATTTGGTTTTGCTACATAAATTTTATCATGCACTCGTTATTCTGAATCTTTATCTAACACCCATTTGCCTTAACTAGCACTTGGGATGTCACGTATGAAAGTGAAAACGTGTGACTAGTAAGATCGATATAGTTGTAGTAGGGAGACGAAATTAAATGTGATGAAGGGCCTGATAAGCTTGAGGTAAAGGTAATGGTTTGAATCAGTATATTATCTATGATCTTCGAATTGGAGTTTTAAATTATTCTTACTGAGCAAGTGGTGGCTCACTCATTTTTATTAATTCCAGAGTAGGAAGGCTAAGAGCAAGTTCATGGTCAAAGAAGATTTAGAAGAATCCTTTTATGAAATTGGGAAATTTTTTTGTAAAATAGATCTGAAAATTTACTATAGAAACGTTATTAAAGACTTTATGAGCCTCCTTAACTGTAACTTTGCACAAGGGATGTATGGTTGAGTTTTAGATTTTAGTATATTGATGCACTATTTATTAAGTTTTATACGTGTGGTAACACTCATTTCTTATATGAGAAATGGGGTTGTTACAGTAAATCTATTGATTAAGTTATATACATCAATCATAACGCAATACAAATAATCTTTAAGTAAGAATACACACAAAGGTATAGTTTCACTCGAGATTAATTAGGCAATATGTACTAATTGCAATTCAAAACAAGTAACTTTCAAGTGTTAATGCACACAAAAGTATAATCTGACTCGAACTTATGATCTCTTGTAAAAGAAAAAGTGCATCAACTATTAAACTAATTAATTAATTAATTAAGTATACACATATACCAATCAAATATATATATATATTCGGCTAATAAATATTTGATTAATTAAATTATTAATTATTTATCTATTAGTTGGATGTCTATGTACTTTTATCCTTATCTATAAGATTATGAGTTCAAATAAGACATACATCTCATGATATATTATTTAACTATTAAAATATATGAATTTTTACAAAAAAAAATTGTACTTGAGAATTTGTATTATTAAATAAATATTATAAGATCAATAATAACACACATAAATACTCCAAATTAAAGAGTTTTGAGTAGTGATGATTAGTTTTAATTATATACCTTGAGGAGGCTCCTTTGATCTTGAAGCAAAGTTCACAAAGCTTAGGAAAATCTGCATCACATACTTTGTCCCTACAAATTAAGAGAAGAAGACTAAATAATTAAACCCATTAACTAATCAGACGTGGTTAATAACTACTCAAATCTATATCGAAATATATATTATGTATAAATATAAAGTTTTAGCCATGTCTAAAATGGTGATTTCAGATTCAGCTACAAAGGTGGAGGGTAGATAAGAGAAATAATTAGGACCACAACTAGGTACTCCTTTCATTTCATATGTTATACAATAAAAGTGATATACCATACCCTTTAACAAAAATCGAATGCAAACCAATCAACAATATCGATATATATACATGATTAGTAAACATATAAGAGAAAAATAGATAAGATGTTAAGCATTAAACCTCTTATTCTATCGAGTGGATCATGTCGAGGAGCTATGTAACAACCCCGGAAATTCATAATGGAATGTATATTAAAAATATCAAATGCGGAAGCGAAGTCAAAAATTCGATTAACATCCCTTACACTAAAAACCAAAAACGTGCTCACAATATAAAAGATCAAACTACCTAAAGGAAAAACTTGAAAGTAAAAGCTACAAATATGGCTATGGAGTCTTTAGGAGTCCCCTTCGTCGTCCTCCTGCGGAACTGGCTCGGGAACAAGGTCTTCCTGATCTGAAATGATTAAATAAGGAATGAGCTACACTAGCCCAGTAAAGACATCACGATATCTCACTGTCATGGAGGTAAAGGTGGATAGAAAACACAAAAAGACCAATGGAGCATAATTTACAACAAAACCTTTTATCAATAATAAAACCTTTACCATTCACTTACCTCGGTGAAATTCATAAGTCAATATACGAAAACAATAACATCATCATCATCATGAAATCATATATAAACTGTATAACGTAATACCTATCAAGCCTTTCATAATACAATCGTTACACAACATATTTTTCCTCTTTTACCAGCCCACTAGTATCCATGGGGATCCATAGGGGTCCCGCTACCTGTTAACCCTTAACACTTGAAATCATATTCCAGGGCCGTCCCCATACCCCGTCCGGTATGGGCACCAAAACTATAAACCTCATTACCCCGTCCGGTAATGAGGGTGAAACGGGCCGTCCCCATACCCCGTCCGGTATGGGCGCCAAAACACATAAGATCTCCATACCCCGTCCGGTATGGGAGACCACAATCCCGGTAGGGTTCCCTACGGACCCGGTCCGTCCACCATCTCCCAGGATATCTAGTCAGGCTGACCACATTATACAATTACTCATTTACATAATCTTTCATTCTCTCTTTCCCTCAGTCAGCATTATCAATCCACATACAAACAAGCAAAACGATAATTTATGTCAAACAGACAACATATAGTATCAATATCCCAGTCATTCAATCCATAATCAATAAAACAGTAAAAATATGCACACGAAACTATAAAATGAAAACATCAAACCTCATGCTGCATTTAAAACTGTAAAACAGGCCAAATAACAGTTAACCAACAAACACACTAGACTCGGGCTCCATTAGCGACCTTAAACTATTTCACATATTCGTTGATTCATGAAATACCGTTTTATCATTTATTGAACTTTAAAACCGTGATAGGAAATAGGGTGAGGGGTCCTTACACGTTTCGGGGTCCGAACACGGCTTCACAGTGCGCCTACAGGCTGTCCCTAATTTTCCCTGAATTTTTCCCGGGGAACTGAAACGCACTACTGGTACCTGTACGTGTTCCAAAAAATCCCAAATTAGGCCCAGGGCCCCTTTCGGCCAATATCGCAACTCCGGCACGGCGGCTCCGCTGTGCTCCGGCGACGGCGCCGCCGCAAGCGGCGGCGGTTCACCTCAGGTTGGCCGTTTTCGACCGAATTCGGCCACACTCGCATTGGTTCCTGCGATAAAACAACCCTACGGCCCTCGGGGGGCTGAAAATTTACGGAAAACCGAAGCTTACCAGCGACGGTGCTCTCGGGTGCGGCGGCTCTCCGGTGAAGTTCGTGTTTTGGTGATTCGGCTCTGATCAACCTGTAGAGAAAAGAATGGTGATCAAGGTGGTATAAAAATTGCATTAAACGGAGGCCGGGAAGGGCCTCATCGGAGGCAAAAACTAAGGAGGGGCGCGGCGGCGCCGCTGGCTTTCGGCCGTGTTTTTCGGCCGTTTGGCCGGGATTTTGGCTCCGATTTGGCCACTGGGGAAATCAGCGTGGAAAAACGAGTCGGGGGTATGAAATTTACCTCAATCGGCGGTCAGAAATCTCCCCGGTGCGGCGGCGGGTGGCGGCGGCCGGCTCTGGTTCGTCTTCTCCGGCGAGGGCAGGCGGCTAGGGTTTTGTGGTCTGGTGTGGGGGTTCTATTTATACCCTTTTGCCTTTTGATCTTAGCCGTCCATTTTGATTTTATCTGGGCTGTCCGTTTTTGATTAAATCTGGGTCGTCTGTGCGATTAAATCTGGGCCGTCCGTGCGCGCGATTGATCTGGGCCGTCCGATCGCGCGCACGCGGATCGCCAACGTGGCCCGTCCCGGATCGACGTGGTCTTGCCATGTGGCAGGTCCCGGTTGGCCGGGACTACTGACTGGGTCTGCTGACATGGCTGCTGACGTGGCCCCCCGTTTTTTTTTTTTTTTTTTTTCCTTCTTTAATTTCCCAAGCGCTACAAGCTATGTGCTTCGATCTATTCTATTCGAATCAATTGGAAAATAGAAAAATGGTTTTGCTGAGAGGAGAGTGATTGTTTTTTTTTTCAAATCTACAGTGCTCACCGAAGCGGCGGAGAGTTATAATGAGTTTAGTATTTATAACAGATTGCTAATAATCTAGGTCATTTATAGTGATTAATATTTAGGTTATCAATATTGTATGCATTAATGAACTTGCATATTTTTGAATTTTGTATTCTGAGTTTCGATTAATCTTGCTAACAGTTTTATAATAAAAATTATTTTTTAAACAGTAAATTTACGTTATTTGATTCATTGATTTATATGAGATTAAATTATTTATTGAAGTTAAATCATACTTTATTAGTTTACTGAACTATAAATTTAGTCGTATTTCTTTCTAGTATTATATAAGTTAGTAAATAATGTAAGTTAGTACAGTAATATTTAATACAACATTTACTTTTTCCATTTAAAAAAAAAACATGGATAAAAACCATTCTGATTAAGCAAGTGAACAAAAAACTAAGACTCATGAACAACTATATATCTTTCGGAAGTCCTTACTACATCTCTGGCAATGTTACATACTATCTGATTACACGTTTACATCCAATTAAGAAGAAGAGAAGTAAAATGTGGAATGAAAGTTACGTTTAAATCCAACTAATAATTAGACAATAAACGACACAATTTTAGCAACTAATAGACATTGTCACTAAAAGTCAAAATGTCACTAACTAAATATACAGCAAATAAAGGAAGCAACTTGTCCATTTTTTTACTTGGAAAAAAAAAATTATTTAACTTTTATATCAGCAAAAAGAAATATATAAGAAGCTGGAAATAAAATGTTCATCTTTATGTACTCAAACCTAAAGAAAATTTGATCTCCTTTACTATAAGACATCAAAGCTTCTATCTTTGTATTTGTTGCATCTCATTGCAGTCGCCATCAATCACCTCTCATTATTTACTAAAGCATCAGTTCTCCTAATCAATCGTCAATACTACATTTTAAACAGTAAATGTACTTC